CAGGAAGGGGGTAGAAGTGTCCTGTAGGCAGGAAGGGGGTAGAAGTGCCCTGTAGGCAGGAAGGGGGTAGAAGTGCCCTGTAGGCAGGAAGGGGGTAGAAGTGCCCTGTAGGCAGGAAGGGGGTAGAAGTGCCCTGTAGACAGGAAGGGGGTAGAAGTGCCCTGTAGGCAGGAAGGGGGTAGAAGTGCCCTGTAGGCAGGAAGGGGGTAGAAGTGCTCGGTAGGCAGGAAGGGGGTAGAAGTGCCCGGTAGGCAGGAAGGGGGTAGAAGTGCCCAGTAGGCAGGAAGGGGGTAGAAGTGCCCTGTAGGCAGGAAGGGGGTAGAAGTACCCGGTAGGCAGGAAGGGGGTAGAAGTACCCGGTAGGCAGGAAGGGGGTAGAAGTGCCCTGTAGGCAGGAAGGGGGTAGAAGTGCCCTGTAGGCAGGAAGGGGGTAGAAGTGCCCGGTAGACAGGAAGGGGGTAGAAGTGCCCGGTAGGCAGGAAGGGGGTATAAGTGTCCGGTAGGCAGGAAGGGGGTATAAGTGTCCGGTAGGCAGGAAGGGGGTAGAAGTGCCCGGTAGGCGAGGGGTTAAAGATCAGCAGATACAGATTTATAGCTGCTGTTACCCCTCCTGCACACTGGGGGGCGTATTCATAACGCTGGTAACGTTAGCTGTGTAAAGTCATGTTTAAAAATGTGACCTTTTCAGCTTTTTCTAGCATTTTTGCAGTGGCGTTTAGTGCCGTTTTCCTGCGTTTTTCTGCTTTTTGAGATTTCTAGCCATTCTTTTGACCAAAAAAAATAAATTTTTTTTTCTAAAAAAAAAAGTCTAAAAATGACGGTTTGCGGCCTTTTACTGCATTTTGCCACATTTTTCAGGATGGGGGCAGTGTTAGGGGTAACATTCGGGATGGGGGCAGCGTAAGGGGTAACATTGGGGATGGGGGCAGTGTAGGGGGTAACATTCGGGATGGGGGCAGTGCTAGGGGTAACATTGGGGATGGGGGCAGTGTTAGGGGTAACATTGGGGATGGAGGCAGTGTAAGGGGTAACATTCAGGATGGGAGCAGCATAATGGGTAACATTCGGGATGGGGGCGGTGTTAGGGGTAACATTCAGGATGGGGGCAGTGTTAGGGGTAACATTGGGGATGGGGGCAGTGTAAGGGGTAACATTCGGGATCGGGGCAGTGTTATGGGTAACATTCAGGATGGGGGCAGTGTTAGGGGTAACATTCGGGATGGGGGCAGTGTAAGGGGTAACATTCAGGATGGGGGGCAGTGTTAGGGGTAACATTCGGGATGGGGGCAGTGTACGGGGTAACATTCGGGATGGGGGCAGTGTAAGGGGTAACATTTGGGATGGGGGCGGTGTAAGGGGTAACATTCGGGATGGAGGCAGTGTTAGGGGTAACATTCTGGATGGGGGCAGTGTTAGGGGTAACATTGGGGATGGGGGCAGTGTTAGGGGTAACATTCGGGATGGGGGCGGTGTTAGGGGTAACATTCTGGATGGGGGCAGTGTAAGGGGTAACATTCGGGATGGAGGCAGTGTTAGGGGTAACATTCTGGATGGGGGCAGTGTAAGGGGTAACATTCGGGATGGGGGCAGTGTTAGGGGTAACATTCGGGATGGAGGCAGTGTAAGGGGTAACATTCGGGATGGGGGCAGTGTTATGGGTAACATTCAGGATGGGGGCAGTGTTAGGGGTAACATTCGGGATGGGGGCAGTGTTAGGGGTAACATTCGGGATGGGGGCAGTGTTAGGGGTAACATTCGGGATGGGGGCAGTGTTAGGGGTAACATTCGGGATGGGGGCAGTGTTAGGGGTAACATTCGGGATGGGGGCAGTGTTAGGGGTAACATTCGGGATGGGGGCAGTGTTAGGGGTAACATTTGGGATGGGGGCAGTGTTAGGGGTAACATTCGGGATGGGGGCGGTGTAAGGGGTAACATTCGGGATGGGGGCGGTGTAAGGGGTAACATTCGGGATGGGGGCGGTGTTAGGGGTAACATTCGGGATGGGGGCGGTGTAAGGGGTAACATTCGGATGGGGGCAGTGTAAGGGGTAACATTCGGGATGGGGGCAGTGTAAGGGGTAACATTCGGGATGGGGGCGGTGTAAGGGGTAACATTCGGGATGGGGGCAGTGTAAGGGGTAACATTCGGGATGGGGGCGTGTAAGGGGTAACATTCGGGATGGGGGCAGTGTAAGGGGTAACATTCGGGATGGGGCGGTGTAAGGGGTAACATTCGGGATGGGGGCGGTGTAAGGGGTAACATTCGGGATGGGGGCAGTGTAAGGGGTAACATTCGGGATGGGGGCGGTGTAAGGGGTAACATTCGGGATGGGGGCAGTGTAAGGGGTAACATTCGGGATGGGGGCGGTGTAAGGGGTAACATTCGGGATGGGGGCAGTGTAAGGGGTAACATTCGGGATGGGGGCAGTGTAAGGGGTAACATTCGGGATGGGGGCGGTGTAAGGGGTAACATTCGGGATGGGGGCAGTGTAAGGGGTAACATTCGGGATGGGGGCGGTGTAAGGGGTAACATTCGGGATGGGGGCAGTGTAAGGGGTAACATTCGAGATGGGGGCAGTGTTAGGGGTAACATTCGGGATGGGGGCAGTGTAAGGGTTAACATTCGGGATGGGGGCAGTGTTAGGGGTAACATTCGGGATGGGGGCAGTGTAAGGGGTAACATTCGGGATGGGGGCAGTGTAAGGGTTAACATTCGGGATGGGGCAGTGTTAGGGGTAACATTCGGGATGGGGGCAGTGTAAGGGGTAACATTCGGGATGGGGGCAGTGTAAGGGTTAACATTCGGGATGGGGGCAGTGTAAGGGGTAACACTGTGTTCACAAAGGTCTAACACAGATCAGCCCCCTGCTTCAGCCTCTCACCAATGTACAGTCTGATCACTGGAGGAGAGGAGACTGAGGAAATGCTTCCTGCTGCCTGCAGCTGACTGATGACATCATCTCAGCCTAGGCAAAGGTATCTTAACCCCTTGGCGCTGGCACCTCCCAGCCCTTTAAGGGTTTCAGAAGCCGGGAGGTGGGGTTTAGGGTCATGTGACACAGTGTGTTACGGTGGTCACATGATCGGGAAAGGTCCCGTTTTCCGTGAGTACCGGACGTGTGTTGTGTTGGGGCGCTCTCAGCACGTTTTTTTTAATTGCACGCAAATGTGCGGCCGCTCAGCGTCTAGGCCCAGACACCGTGAGGATGCACGCCAAGAGGTTAATGGTGGCTCTTTGGAATGTTGTTTTGGGGTGTTGTTAATTTATAGGGAAAGCTGATCCAGGGAATATCTGAATATTGATCCCGCGAATTGCCTCTCGGGGATCAGGAAGGACATTTATCCCCTGCAGGAGCTTTGCTGGTTTTTTTGCCTTCCTCTGGATCAACTGTGGGTGTAGGATTATAACTTTTTTTTTTGTGTTTGAACTGAATGGACTTTTGTCTTCTTTCACCCAGACTAACTATGTAACAACAACAAAAAATTACAAAATAATAACAATTATTATTATTAATAATAACTATAATAATAATAATAACAACAACAACAACAACAAAAATTTTTTTGCAAATAATATTCCAAAATAATATTAATAATAAGAATAACAATAATATTAATAATTATTATATATAATAACATATTTCCTAAAAATTAACAACACCCCAATTATTATTATTATTATATTTTTATTATTACTATTTTTGTCATTATTTTTTATTATTATTAACAATAGCAATAATAACAATAATATTCATAATTATTATTATCTATAATAACATTTTTCCTATAAATTAACAATAACACCCCAATTATTATTATTATATTTTTATTATTACTATTTTTGTCATTTTTTATTATTACTATTCTATTGTCATCATTAATTATTATTAATAGCAATAATAATATTAATATTTATTATTATCTATAATAATAATATATTACCTATAAATTTACAACAATAAAAACCCAAATATTATTATTATTTTTATTATATTTTTATTATTACTATTTTGTCATTATTATGTTATATTATTATTACTATTTTATTGTCATCATAATTTTTTATTATTATTATTAATAATAATAATAATAAATAAAATAGTAACAACAATAAAAAAATAATGACGGCAATAGTAATAATAATAATAATAATAATAATAATATAATAATGACAAAAAAGGATAATAATAAAAATATGATAATAATATTTGGGGTGTTAATTTATAGTAAATATATTATTATAGATAATAATAATTATTATAATAGCTATTGTTAAAATTAATAACAATAGCAATAATAATAATAATAATAAAAAAATAATGACGACAATAAAATAGTAACAATAATAATAACAAAAAAAAATAATAATGATAAAAAAATAATGATGACAAAAATAGTAATAATAAAAATATAATAATAATAATAATAATAAAAATAAAACAATTGCGCTGATATTGTAGAAAGTTGTGAATTTCTGTATATTGCATTGTTATGAATGTCTTCCTGCAGACGTGTAAAGTCCCTGATGATCCCGGAACTGGTAATGGATCAGTCCTGGCACGTCGCGGTGTATTGGCTGCGCCGAGTTGTGACATTACTGATGCCCCCGCTCTCGGCCCCATAAGGTGACACGCACAGTTTTGGCTGGTGAGGCCGTACTTCTCCCTGCCCCCGTCTGTCGCCCCTCACACCTCGCGAACAGAACGTCCCTGTACTACAGAGGCCCCCCCCATCCGTCCCCCCCCCCCCATCCGTCCGGCTGTAGAAACACATGTTCCTTGCCTGTGTGTTTTCATTACCCACAATCCCCCCCGAGCCCTGGCAGGACTTCTCGCTGTTTGCTGACCCGAAGTTGGCAGGCCGCCCCCCCCGAAACCACATGAAGCCGAGTCCTGGCACACTGACTGCATTTCATGTCATGGCTGGAAGAGAGCGAGCCGCGTCGGCTGCAGGAGTTGTGGAAACTTTACGGACTTAAAGAAGAACTCCGACCTCCCCTTCAGTCTTGCACAGGTGTACCGGCTCCTCCCCTTCAGTCTTGTACAGGTGTACCGGCTCCTCCCCTTCAGTCTTGCACAGGTGTACCGGCTCCTCCCCTTCAGTCTTGCACAGGTGTGTACCGGCTCCTCCCTTTCAGGCTTGCACAGGTGTACCAGTTCCTCCCCTTCATTCTTGCACAGGTGTATCGGCTCCTCCCCTTTAGTCTTGCACAGGTGTACCGGCTCCTCCCCTTCAGTCTTGCACAGGTGTACCAGCTCCTCCCCTTCAGTCTTGCACAGGTGTACCGGCTCCTCCCCTTCAGTCTTGTACAGGTGTACCGGCTCCTCCCCTTCAGTCTAGCACAGGTGTACCAGCTCCTCCCTTTCAGGCTTGCACAGGTGTACCAGCTCCTCCCCTTCAGTCTTGCACAGGTGTACCGGCTCCTCCCCTTCAGTCTTGCACAGGTGTACTGGCTCCTCCCCTTCAGTCTTGTACAGGTGTACCGGCTCCTCCCCTTCAGTCTTGCACAGGTGTACCTGCTCCTCCCCTTCAGTCTTGCACAGGTGTACCGGCTCCTCCCTTTCAGGCTTGCACAGGTGTACCAGCTCCTCCCCTTCAGTCTTGCACAGGTGTACCGGCTCCTCCCTTTCAGGCTTGCACAGGTGTACCGGCTCCTCCCCTTCAGTGTTGCACAGGTGTATCGGCTCCTCCCCTTCAGTCTTACACAGGTGTATCGGCTCCTCCCCTTCAGTCTTGGGGGGGAGTTGGTACACCTGTGCAAGTTCTCATGCAGACACTGCCAGGGGGTGTCACCTACGTGGTCTGCACAGCTTCCTAGGAGCGCCCTTCCCTTCAGACTGATACTCCCCCATATTTGCACAGCTCCTCCAAAGAGCCCGCCCACTGCTTGCCTCAGGGCAGTACTGAAGGGGGGCTGCAATGCTTTTAGGAAGCGATGTGCCAGCCCCTCCCACCAGCCATGATCTGCCTGCATTGTTTAGAGAAGCACAGAGACCCAGCGATGACATCACTGAGTTTATAATAAGGTGTGCAAGAAAAATGAAAGGTTTTAATTAAACTTTGCACTAGTGTATTGATGGAGGGGGGGGGGGGGGTGTGCAGGAACCAGGGAAGGCAGTACCCCCCTGTATTTAGGCAACATACATGTACAATTTAAAGGGTATCCCACATGGAACAAAAATATATTTGAAATGTATTTTAAAAATATTATTCACAAATATAATATATATATATATATATATATATATATATATATATAAATATATTTAAATATATTTTGAAATACAGTTTGAAATATATTAAATATGTCCAAAATTGTAGTATTTCAAATATATGTCAATATATTTGTGAATAATATTTTTTAAGTACATTTCAATATATGTATACACATACACTGTATGTTGAAATGCATTTTATTACAAAATATATGAAAATTTTTTTTTAAAAATGCATTTCAAATATACTGTATGTCTTTAAAAATACAACATTTTTGGAACGCATTCACAAATATATGTAAAAAGATATGTGAATATGGCTTTTTTTAATATGAAGTATATACATAAATAAAATATATATTTTTAAAAATATTTTTCATGTATAAAAAACGCAATTTTAACATGTAATAATAATAATTATATATATATATATATATATATATATATATAAAAATAATATTACATTAAAAATGCGTTTTTTTTTTTATACATGAAAAATATTTTTTAAATATATATTTTTATTTAAATATATTCTTCATATTAAAAAAAAAAGTATATACGTGTCACAGAGCCAACCCACACGCCACGCCCATAGCGACTAGCTAACTGAGGCGGCTGTGACTTGGGTAAGAGGGAATAAGGGGGACTTATATATCTGAATATATATACATATACAAGACCGGTCGTGATGTACTTTCACAGCTCGCACTACCTCTTGGCCACCACCGGAGGGAGACTCCACTCCAATCCAGCTGGCTGACCACACACACAGGTAGACACAAATCTTACATACAATCTGGTGCACTGATTAGAGTTGAGGAGCAGCTTAGTAATCACACACCCTTCTAGGATCCCTCCAACTATCTTACAGCTTGAACCCCGGTGTTGATAACCCTTCCACTGTCCACACACCCCCCCACACCAGACACACCACAAATGGTAGCCTGCCACCACCCAACAGTTTATCTGCAGAATGGTCTGTTGGCACACCACACACACACAGATCTCTGTCTGGCAGACCTGTCACCCTTACAATCTGCCCACACGCAGTGCAATTGCATACAGATTGGCAATGAACTTGACCGAGCAAATAAAGACACTAAAATACAATCCAATCTAATCTCTCCGGAGATATGAGCCCGAGCTTCAATACACAGAAGTCACATATTAATTTTAAGATTTAATTTGCCGAAAGTGGGAGGTGCATAAAATATGTACAAAGTATAAAAAGTTACAGAAAATACAAAAATACAAGAAGACACACAAATGACTATTCACTATAAAATAAAAGGGAATAAAAAACAGAAATAAAACTTTTACCGAGATCTATCCTGCGACTGGAGCAAGTCAGAGAAAGTCCGCAATCCATCAGTCAATAGGACAGGCTCCATACGAATCACACTGTCCAAATGTCAGGGTCCTCAATTTATGGGAATATGGATGTAGGCTGGACATTAGTCCTTGGCCAATCAACCAGTGGGGGCTAGTGGAGGGATTGGCAGAGAGGGATGGAGGACACTGAGTGGTGGACACTGGAGGGATTGGCAGAGAGGGGTGGAGGACACTGAGTGGAGACCAGTGGAGGGATTGGCAGAGGGGGGTGGAGGACACGGAGTGGAGGCCAGGGGAGGGATTGGCAGAGAGGGATGGAGGACACTGAGTGGAGGTCAGTGGAGGGATTGGCATAGAGAGATGAGGGACACTGAGTGAAGGCCAGTGGAGGGATTGGCAGAGAGGGGTGGAGGACACTGAGTGGAGGCCAGTGGAGGGATTGGCAGAGAGGGGTAGAGGACACTGAGTGGAGGCCAGTGGAGGGATTGGCAGAGAGGGGGGTGGAGGACACTGAGTGGAAGCCAATGGAGGGAATGGCAGAGAGGGGTGGAGGGCACCGAGTGGAGGCCAGTGGAGGGATTGGCAGAGAGGGGTGGAGGGCACCGAGTGGAGGCCAGTGGAGGGATTGGCAGAGAGGGGAGTCTCTGAGTCCAAGAGAGTGGAGTTTTTTGAGGAGGAGGGGATGGTCAACAGTATCAAAATCTCAGACTTGCAATTTTTAGAAGGTGCCAAAAATTTTGTCCAGTCCATTTGTGGGGTTTTGTGGTGGAATGTGTCAGATTTTGGCTTTTTGTTTCTCCACTTTTTTTGCATCATACCGATACAAACAAAATATATAAACATGAGAATGCCGAAACATTTGTAATTGAAGCAATTTTCTGGGTGCATTATCTGACAGAAATGCGGGGGGGGGGGGGGGGGGGGGGACAATATTTTTTACTATGACTGTATGTAAACCCTAACAATAAACCTCCCTGATTTGTTCCCTTTGGATCCGATAATCACACCCACTGGAAGAGTTTTGTTATATCTGTTTAACTACCTCCGGCCTGCCATATAGTCCAATGACGGCCACAAGCTGGTTCTCTCGTTCTGGGAGGATGTGTCATATGACGTCCTCCCATTCTCACTGCGCATGTGCGGCTCAGGGAGCGTGCAGCGCGGCGATCGCCGGTGCGCTGTGTCCCACGGACACAGCGGATCACGGAAAGAGCTGAAGATGTCGGCTCGGTCATGTGATCAGCTGTGTCCAATCACAGCTAATCACATGTAAACATGGAAATGCCGGTTATTGGCATTTCTCTCCTCACGAGCTGTCATGCTGACAGAGGAGAGCCGGTAATCGGCTTTTCGCGAATGTACTACACTGATCATCAGGGCACTGATGATCAGTGTGCCCTGATGATCAGTGTGGCCCCGGAAGTGCCACCTGTCAGTGTCCATCAGTGCCAGCAGTCAGTGCCCATCAGTGCCACATCAATGCCACATATCAGTACATACCAGTGCACATCAATACCACATATCAGTGCCCATCTGAGCTGCCTTTCAATGTCACCCATCAGTGCCAGTCAGTGCCACCTATCAATGCCAATCAGTGCCACCTATCAGTGCTGCCAATCAGTGCCACCTATCAGTGCCAGTCAGTGCCGCCTATCGGTGCCAGTCAGTGCCACCTATCAGTGCTGCCAATCACTGCCACCTATCAGTGCCAGTCAGTGTTGCCTATCAGTGCGCATCAGTGCCGCCTATCAGTGCCAGTCAGTGCCGCCTATCAGTGCCATATATCAGTGTCATTTATCAGTGCTGCCTTTCAGTGCCCATCAGTGCAACCTATCAGTGCCTCCTCATCAGTGCCACCTATCAGTGTCCATCAGTGCAGCCTATCAGTGCCCATCAGTGCAGCCTCATTAGCGCACATCAGTGAAGGAGAAAAAATCACTTATTTACAAAACTGTATAACAAAAACTAAGAAAAAAACTTTTTTTTTTCAAAATTTTCAGTGGTTTTTGGTTTGTTTAAGAAAAAATAAAAATCCCCGAGGTGATTAAATACCACCAAAAGAAAGCTCTATCTGTCACAAAAAAATAATAAAAATGTCATATGGGTACAGTGTTGCATGACCGCGCAATTGTCATTCAAAGTGTGACAGCGCTGAAAGCTTGAAATTGGCCTGGACTGGAAGGGGGTATAAGTGCCATGTAGGCGAGGGGTTAATACATGCAAAAAAAATATCTATTGATCTTGCAAGAGACGTATTGCTGTCCTGGGTCTTGTACACAGTTCCTGCGTTATCTTGAGGACCATAATCAGCCCTTCTAGGTCTCCTAGGTCCTCATCTACAGAACAATTACCCCTTATGTCAGGGGTCTTACTGAGACCAGGGCCCGATAAATACCTCCAAAACCTTCCATGCCCCAAGAGTAAAAAAAATGTATATTCCAGAATACAGGCATGGAAATACAAAATATGTATTTGAATTTTATTAAATATCGAGCAATTAGTCGTGCCCCCCCCCCCCCGGGAAGTATAGCCCCTCAATTCATTGGTGTCATTTGTATAGTGGCCTCCAAGAGAGAATAGTTCCCAAATCATGATTGTCAATAAGATAGTGGCCGCCAGGGGAGAATACACCCCCAAGTCTTCAGTGTCAGTTGGATAGTGGCCCTCAAGAGGGGCTAATCCCCAAAATCATTGGTGTCATTTGAATAGTGGGCCTCAGGAGGGGATTATCCTCCAAATCATTGGTGTCAATTGGATAGTGGCCCTCAGAAGTGGATAATCCCCCAAATCATTGGTGTCAGTTGAATAGTGGCCATCAGAAGGGGATAATCCTCCAAATCATTGGTGTCAGTTGGATAGTGGCCCTCAGAAGGGGATAATCCTCCAAATCATTGGTGTCAGTTGGATAGTGGCCCTCAGAAGGGGATAATCCTCCAAATCATTGGTGTCAGTTGGATAGTGGCCCTCAGAAGGGGATAATCCCCCAAATCATTGGTGTCAGTTGGATAGTGGCCCTCAGAAGGGGATAATCCCCCAAATCATTGGTGTCAGTTGGATAGTGGCCCTCAGAAGGGGATAATCCTCGAAATCATTTATTGTCAGTTGGATAGTAGCCCCAAGAG